TCGCCAGACAGACAGAGAGAGACATAGAGACAGAAAGCGAGAAATCACCCCCCAGGGGGGATGGTCACGCCGCAATCCCTTCGCCTCCATTCTCCTCTCGGGATCTTGGGCACGCACGCACACGCGCCCGGCGTGAGATTTAAGCCACCGGGTCCGGGACACGAACCGCGGTCGACTACGTGGGAGTCCAGCAACATAGCCATTACGCTAACTGCTGGTTCCCGGCATTATTCATATTTTTGAATTAATGTGTTAAATACTGAGCTTTTCACAGAATTATATCATGTGATGAAAAGTTAACACAGATATTTAACAATGAATGAATTCATTTAAAAAGTAGGAGCCCCTTCAACATTAAAACTGTAACTTTTTCAGAGAATAAGTTCTGTTGACTGAACTTCTTTACAAAATCAAGTGTGGGGAAAAACTTCTGAAATAGGCCATGTTTTTCAGGCCTGCAGATTTTTTTCTTTTTTTTTTTGGAGAGGTTTTTGCTATAGGGCAAGTGCGCTCGCCAGACAGATAGAGATATAGAGACAGAAAGCGAGAAATCACCCCCCAGAGGGGATAGTCACGCCACAATCCCTTCTCCATTCTCCTCTCAGGATCTTGGGCACGCACGCACATGCGTCCAGTGTGAGTTTTAAGCCACCGGGTCCGGGATGCGAACCGCGGTCGACTACGTGGGAGTCCAGCGACATAGCCGTTACGCCAACTGCTGGTTCCCAGGCCTGCGGATTTAATAGCCCTATGTTTGATCCACAGATGAAATTTCCATACATTTTTCTCTGACCTTTCCAATGTTTTCAATCACTGGTTAATTCACTGGCTAGCCCAAGAGCATGACTTTGCCCTGAACAGGTGCAACAGTAAATACTCAGGTACTAGAGGTGGTGTTACACACATTCTCTCATTATTCTAATTTGAGGCTTTATGCCCACTTTATAGATCCTGCAAAAAGCAGATATAAATCAGAAAGGAAGTTGTCACATTACACTTGCCTGCTCCAAGCTGGGCCAAAAAGTGCTTGCATAGTTAACTTGTGTTCCAGAACTTTTGTTGATATAGCTTACATCATGATCTCTGGCAAGGGAGGAAAACACCCAGAAAAGACAACATTGTCCTCAATATCTATTCAACGACTGCGAGTCACTTTTCCTCAGAGCTCACAGCAGAATGACATTGGCAAAAAAGTTCCTCTATCTCTCTAGTTGGTCAAGCCTAGTCATACCAGCTTCCTTGCCCCTTCAAGGTTTTCTGGTACACAAAGTTGAGAAGATGCCCAGTAGTTACTTCTGTTATAACAGCGTAGCTAAAGAAACCACCACAGACTAGTAAAGACCAAGTACTTTTATGTAAGTATGTATGTATGTACATATATACACATACACATGCTTACATATATATGTGTATATGTATACTTTTTAAAGGTAACAGTATATAAAAGTTATGAAAAAAGCATGAGAGGAAAAAGAGAGACACTGAATACTCCAAAACTGCAAATGTCCCATATTATCTTGGACTCATGCATGCTTTTTATAGATAGGTTGCGAACCCAGTCCTCCACAGCTTACCTGAGACCCTCCCCACACCACTTCTAAGCTCAATGCCATGCTATTAATGGCACATATGCCTCAGTTGCTCATTTTAATAACATAAACACAGAATGGGGAAAAAGACAATAAAACTTTAAAAAATAAAAAAACAAGAACATAAGCACAGATGACTTTTATTAAATAACAATTAAGAACTAAATATTTAAGCTAAAATCTATGACCTCTAACTTAGAATACTTTTCCTTTTTGTAAACAAATGGAATTCTTTATTGGTAAGCCCTAATAAAGCCTTAATATTTATTTTCATCCATGCCTTAAATTTCTAATTCATTTCTGAAAGAAATGTTGGGCTGTCAGAAAAGTCATGATACACTTTTGTGTAGAAAAACAGAAAAAATATGTCATGACTTTTCCAACAACCTAATATTAGAAAACTAAAAGTTTGAAACAGAGAATTATAATCAATCATCCCGATTTTTTATCTTTTTTAAAAAAACAGTTTTCTAAGATTTCTGAAAATGATCTATTTATGAATTAGGAGCTTCTGATTTGCAAGCCAGGTTCCAAATTCACTGGCACCAATTAATACTGTGCAGCTTTGGGAAAGCGACCTCACACTTTTAACCCTCAGTTCTCCTGTCTGTAAAATCGCATTAGGACAGAGCTTGCTGCATAAAATTACTAAGTGTATTAAATAAGATAACACCTCTATATAATACCTAACACAAGGTAAGTGTTAGGAAGATATATATGGATATCAGATCAGATCAGATCAGATCGACATACACAGGAAAAAATATCAAAGGCCAACTATGTCTGATTGGCCTCATATATACCAGGACCTTAAATTAATATTTTAATAGAATTTGCTTACTAGAATTGAAGTTGGATGTCTTAGAAGGTTGTAACTGTTTGGTATACTCATTAAAGAGGAAAAAACAAGAGAACAGGTCCAACATACCATCTTTTCCTTGGTATTTGTTTTCATTTGTTCCGACTGACTGCGATTCAGTGCCATCTGGAGCCTAAACATAGAAAATGGGCCATTTAGTCATCTCCAACTCACAACCAGAGAAAATGGCATTGTAAATAATTCTGCTACTAACCTTTAGAGTATAAGAAATGTACTCACGATTATAACAATCACAGTGGGGAAGAGCACTACGGTTACAATCAACGAGCAATTACCCAGTAAATATCAGCTTACCTACGACTTTGTAAGACACAAAACCAAGCCTGGTAGGTGAAATGAAAATGTCAAGAAGATCCCTGCCCTCAAAAGCACCATTATATATTTGAGGGTAAAGGACAAACTTATTGAAAACTGGGATTATCCATCAACTGATAAATGGAGAAAAAAATCTAGTCTATCCATACAACAGAATATTATTTGGCTATAAAAGAAATGAAGTCCTGATGCATGCTACGATGTACATAAACCTTGAGAACAAAATGCTGAATAAAAGGAACCAGTCATAAAAACTACATAGTGTACAATTCCACTTACCTGAGTTATCCAGACTAGACATATTATAGAGGCACAAAGTAGGTTAGTAGCTGCCCGAGAGTAAAGAGAGGACTATGAGGAATAACCGCTAAGTGGCATTGGCTTTCTTTTTGGGAAGATGAAAATGTGCTAAAATTGATTGTGGTGATGATTGCAAGTCTGTGAATACACTAAAAACCACTTAATTGCACTCTTTAAATGAGTGATTTTTATATCTCAATAAAGTCATTATAAAGCAAAATCACAAGCTAACATGTCAGTAATAAAAGAGAAAATCTTCAAATTAAAAAGAACAACTAATAAATGTGAGAAAAATTAAAGCTAAGTTATCAAACCAGCAAAAAGAACCAAAATGTCTGAAAGAACGCCTTTTCTCCAGGGGTCGAGGTAATGACACCTAAAGAATGGAGCCTCCAAGGTTGTGTGGTCATGGCCAACTATGGCTGGCCCCGTTCACCAGGAAGCATGGCCAAATAGCACTTCCTTTTTGAAGACAAGGCTTCAGAAGAAATTCAGGGGTCAGAAGAACACTAGACCAATCATACAAAGAGGCCTATTTGAATTAATAAATTTTAAAGTAATGATTCTAATTGGATTTCATCTCTGTAGACATAAAGTGGCCTTTGGTCACTTTACCACATGTCTCATTTCAAGTTTTTAGCCAAGAAGGACTTCCTCCTCTACCGGTAATCTAAGGAGAGCAAAGAAAAGCACTAAGGCAGGTACACTAGGCTATTAGTGTACTACCTAGGGCCCAGCAGTATCCACTGAACACTGACAATGTTCAATGACAACCACATCACAGCAGTGGTACATGGGTATGTGGGTCTATTTTAATCCCCAACAGAACAAAGTAGTGTTATTCTCCTTCCCGCCACCCACAAGTCTGCAGAGGGCTGGCCCTGCACGGTACAATGAACATAGTGAGTGATTCTCATCTTACTTACAAACACATATTTTAGAGCATGTGGTCAGAGTTGTTATCCTTAGCATTTGAAGATGGTAGTGCAGATGGTATTCATTTCTGTATTGTATTTCCTAGTATCAACAAGAGTTTCATGAAAAAACATTTAAAATAAAAGAGCTAGGGCCTGTTGTAGTAGCACGGCAGTATTGATGTGTTCCACGATGCTAAGGCCACATGAGAAGGTCTTGGGTTCACATCTTGAGGTCTCCTGTGCATGCCAGGTATGCACACATGTGTCTATAATCCTGGCTGACAGCAGCTAGGGGTAAAATCATGACATAAAGTTCCTGTTGGGGTTCCTGTCACTCTCTCTCATCCTCTCTCATGGAAGAAAAAAAATGATCTTTTAAAATAATAATAATATAAAAAAGAAGAACTGCATATGTACATACTCAGAAACAAGAACTATAAGTGAAAATGGTTGGCCTGGGTATACTTAGGGAATGGGGGGTATGTAAAGTAAATTTCTTTTCAAGAATTATTTATTTATTTAAGTTTATTTGTTGTTATTACTATTATTATTATTTCAATTTGACCAGAAAGAGACAGAAGGGTAAATGAAAAAGCAAGCCTCCAGATTAGGGACTTGAACCATGATCAGCCACGTGGGAGTCCAGAACCTTGACCACCATGCCACTTGCTGGCCCATAAAGTGAATTTTTAATGGGTGGTAGTGTTTCAATTAAAGGCATGCAATGTAAGCAAGTTAACATTATTTTAATTTATTTGTGCTATTTCTCTCTTAATGACTCCAAAGAATGACATAATTCATTAATTTCTTTGGATCCAAACCATGAGGTTTAGACATTGCCAGGAATTTGTTGAAATATACTGATTCTAACTCCAAGCAGTAACATCTTAGAGATTAGCAGGACTCACATAGCATGTACACACCATCTATTTCACTTACACTCAGTTCTCTGCCCTTCCACCATTTCACTTCCCCTTAACTCTCTTAGGGAGGGGTCTTTAATTGGGAAGGAAATGTCATAATAGTATATTTCCTCACCATTTGTTTTTCTACAGCTGGGAACTTGGTCTAGTCCTTCAACACTGTGTATCCCTAATAACCACTGGGTGGTAAGCAAGTGCTTAGTTTAAGCAATGCCTGTAGCAATGTAGTGACCTCAAAACTCCAGTAAAAGGGACTGAATTCGCTCCACAATTGGCCATGCAAATAGACCAGCATTCTGCAGTGAGAGAGGATTTTTTTGAAGGAATGAAATGTCTACAAAAAACAAAAAGACCTCCACATCACAGAAATATGTCTTAAATATAAGCTCTCTCATCTATTTTTAAATAAAATAAATCATACGATTTTTGTTAACATTTATTTACAGTGTAAATAGAATCTCACATTCAGATTGCTTAGTATCAGAATCAAGTATAGAAATACAACAATGGCAGGACAAAGAACAGCTGAAAGCATGTACTTCAGCATAGACAAATTTGGGTTTACTATCCACGGGACATTGAACAAGTTACTTAAAGTCTATGAGGCTCAGCCTGGAATGGAAATGATAAAACCTCCCTCACAGGACAGCTGTAAGGATTAAATGAGAAAAATCATGCAAAGCAGTTAGCACAGTAAGCATTCAGTAACAGTGGCAGCAATTGTATTAGTATTATTATCTTTTCTTTTTTTTTTTTCTATTTTAGTTTTTGCTGTAGGGCACATGTGCTCACCAAAGAGACAGATAGAGAGAAAGAGAGAGGAAAGTGAGATAACACCTCCCAGGGTGATGGCCACGCTACGATCTTTTTCCTCTACTCTCCTCTAAGATTTTGGGTGCACACACACCCCGCCTGAGTCTCAGGCTGCTGAGTCCAGGACTCGAATGGCAAAACTGGCCATGTGGGATCCAGCACCTTAACCACCATTCCTAACCTGCTGGCCCTAGTATTATTATCTTTACAATCACTGTTAAAAATTGAGTTTAATTCATTCCAACTAACCCCTGAGTCTTTTAGGCCAGAGCTACTCAGGTCAAACTAGAAATCAACTTTGATCTTAATGAGTAGTACTACCCTCAACTCCACAAGTCTCTCTTTTGAAAATGCTTTCTCTGCTCTCTCTTCACCCATCACTCCCACAGTCTTTACCAGACTCCAATACCTTCCTTTAATAAATGAATCATCTGGACAAACATTTTTCCAGTCTTCTATGTGATGGGTACTACTCTAGGCACTAGACACAAGGAAGTTATTTTATAATATCTCAGGGTTCCTACTTTGTACTTGAACTGCAAATTGCTCCATCTCCAGATGAGTCCAGGCAAAATCAAATACTCCTACAAGCATTAATACAGGAGGAATCCCCTACCTCCTCTTTTTCTTTCAGTAACAACTGGCAATCACACTGTCTGGGACATTGTCCTGTTATCCTCCTCGGGTTAGATTCACCTCTAATACTCCAAAGACACCCTTTTTCCCTAACACAAGGATTCTCACACTGAAAGTTAACTTGCTTAATTTTCTGTCCCAGCAGTATAACTTCTGGAAGAGCAGAAGTCCAGTCTCTCTTGTTCAATGCCAGCACAGAGTTTCGGTGCTTGGTATATAACATGTGCTCATTAAGCTTTTAATGATCTATACTAAACTGGATTGGCTCAGATGATTCTAAGCAATTGTTCATTAGCATAAACATCAAAAAAGAAAACTTACTTTTTCTATGGACTCTCTCTGCTGAGCAAATATGTCTCTGACGTCAGGAATCTGGTACTGTTTGTTTTTTTTTCTCAAGGTCTGGGAGACGGTTTCTACCCGTTTCTGAACAGCTGCTGCCTGGGTCCGGGTCAAGGTTGATAATAACACCATGCTCTCCTGGGAATCTCCAGCAGAGTCTCCAACGAGATTGGACAAACCGGCCTTTTTAAGCCACTCTTCTTCCAATTCTCCTTCTAGGATAGTAGACAAAAATGGCCTGTAAATGACGAGCTCTATGAACTATTACAAAACTCTTACAGAAATGCTTTCTTTGTAACCAAACCACAGTGCTAAGAATCATTATCTCAAACTTGGACAGCTGCCATCTATTCCAGCCAAAATGATATCAAATTTTAGATCAAGTTCATATATACTCAATTATAATTTTTAAATGACCTTGCATGTAATTAACCTCTATAACTTCCCTGCAGATTAACGCAAGAGGATGACATTGTTCCACTTCCAGAGATGCACCAGCAGTGAAAAGATAACTGTCCTCCAACAAGTTACAGAAGGAAGCAATGTTAGGGATAGACGCAAATGCCCAGTTTCTTGGCTTAAGTTCAGCACCACCTCAGAGTCCTATGTTGATTTATGGAAAGACCTTGTTTAATCTGTTCGTTGTAGCTGACATGGAGTATGGCAAAGAAGTACAGAACATATGGACATTAGGAACTCATTTCAAGTTAATTTTTCTTTCTTCCTTTTCTTTCTTTCTATTGTTTAATTGCCAGAGGGCACATGTGCTCACAGAAGGACAGAAAGAGAGAGAAAGAGAGAGAAAACATAGCTCCCCAGTGGGGCACAGTCATGTTTCAATCCTCTCTCTTCAACCTCTCCTTCTCAACCGGATTTTGGGATTACATGCACATATGCCCAGAGTGTTTCTCAAGCCAGAGGGACCAGGATTTGAACTGTGCTGTTGGCTATATGGGATCTAGCTCCCTGAGTCACTAGTCCATTGGGCTGACACTCAAGTTAATTTTTCTAATTCTCCACGTCAGCACATTAGATTATGTTATTTTTTATAAATTAAAAATAGTGAAACAACAAAACGATGTTTTCCCCCCTCCTCCAAAAAAGGGAGCAGTTTCTAGGTGAAATGAAGTAAATGAAATTCTGAAAACATGGAGTAAACAGCAAAGCAAATATTATATATACTTTAATGAAAATGATAGGTAAACAGAGGATAATGAGAATAGATTCCATGCCAAGTTATGAAAGAGCATTGACTTTGGACACAGAAGACTGGGTCTGAACCCCATTTCTGCACTTTGATAACCATGTCACTTAGCCTCAACTCACTTCCATTTTCTTATCTGTAAACTAAAGCACAGTTATCCTGGCTACCTCAAAACCAAATATGAGACTATTCTGTTTGCAGAGCTCTGTGAGAGTTTGTATCACACGGCAAGCACTGACTGGCTATCCTTCTACATTACAGAAACTCTGTGAGGGAAGAAATCACGTACTAGTAACTTTGGCTCCAAGATACAATCTAGTGCTATATACTCTGCATGTCAGGCAATAAAAACTGTTTACTGACATAAAATGTCAGCCAGTCATTATCATTGATACTGTTAGGGTAGAACCCGCTATCAGTATATATAGATAAATTGCCAGAAAAAAATAAAAAATGGATATTGCCATGACAAGGAAAGCAAACAAGATGACTCTTAGGTAGAGTCACTTGCTCCATTGAAAAGTAGAGGCGTGGGCCAGCCCCCTGGCCTAGTAGATAAGGAACCGGATCCTACATGGTTGATGATAGTTCAAATCCCAAGCCCTATGGCTTTGAGAATGTTAGGCACATGTGCATGTGTCCCCAGTATCCTCACAGGATGGAGAAATAGAGAAGAAATTGGGCATGACCATACCCCATTGAAGGATGCTTTCACCTTTTCTGTCTCTCTCTGGTAAGTGCCTGCATCCTCTGGCAATTTTATTTTTTTTAAATAGAGATTTTTGTAAAGGCTGGGAAGACTGTGGGAGTAGGGGGGTAGAGGACACTGGTGTTGAATAATGGAAATAAAATCACAGATAGATAAACAATTTCTAGTGTTATAAAATACATTAAGGTCAAGATAGTTAATAAGAATTTGCCATATATCTCTGAGTAATGAAAGAAGAGAATTTTGAATGTTCCTAACACAAAGTAATGTCAAATGCTCGAGAGGATGGTTATACTAATTTCCCGGAGTGAATCAATACACACCGTATTCTTGTTCTGAGCAATCACATTGGGCCCCATAAACATATATAACCATTTTATGCTAAAAAAAATTTGTTAAAGAAACTTACAACTGAAAAAAAGTAAGATCTTAGCCTAATTCTAGTATCCATACTAGATTAATTTTAATTTGAAATATCTCCTATTAATTGAAAATATCTCAAAAAAGTATAGGTAAAACAAACCATTTAAGTCTAAGAAAAGGCAGGGACATGAAGAAACATTCTCAGTTTTTTTGAAGATCACATTGTACACAATAATCTATGAATCTAATTTAACTTTGGACAAATATCTGATAGCAAATGAAACACTCCTGTGTAACACATTTAAATGTTTTCCTAGCATATTCCTAGTGTATCTGTGTGCATGTGTACATGCTGTAATCCCTTCTCCATTTTTCCATCCCATTTGGGATTTGGGGGATGCACACACTTATCTGTTGTGTTTTTAAAGCCACCAGGGCCAGGATTCAAAGCATAGTCAATTATATGGGATATGGCTCCCTTAATGACTAGGCTATAGGGCTGACCTGGGACATACTATTAAATAACACAAATAAATTTGACTTTACTTTTAACATATTAGGGAAAGAATGAGAGAAAAAAAAAGCTAAAAATCAAAGACTTAGTTAATTATGGGTTTCTGTTATAATTCTACAAAATTTTAAGAAACATTCACAATTTTAAACAGGTAGTATGGTGGTTAAGGGCGCTAGACTACCACGTGGCTGATTGTGGTTCAAGTCCCAGACTTGGTGGCTTACTTTCACTTTTTCTCTCTAACTCTGTCCCTCTCTGGTCAAATTAAATAAATAAATAAATGTTAAATAAAACAATCCTTACAAATATGTTATTACTAGATTTTATAAGCTTATGTTACAGTAAAAAAGGAAACTACGCATCTATAGATGCAGTAAAAAAGGAAACTATTCATCTATAGATTCTGCTACTTAACTTGATGCTAAGTCATTTAGTTAATAAGTCATTTTGCTGAGATGGAGGTCTCTACTAGTGACTCATAGGGTACTGAGTATGACACTTACCTTTTTGGCACTTTACGTCAACTTATACACCACAACATAATTATAAATTTATGGATAGCACAAGGCAAAGAGAAGAATCTAATATAACAGATGCAAGAATAGTCCTCAAAAATTTGGTGACTGCTTAAATTTTTAAAATTAAAAGAGACATTATAAAATTTTAAAAAAAGTTTCTCATGTTTCTTTCAGAATATCAAGTGTAATAGTAGAGACTGTGAGAAATATGGTTAGAAAGAGACTGGGAGAAATTATGGGCCAAATACAAAAAAGAAATAAATGGGGTCAGCAGGTGGTGTGGTGCTTAAGGCACTGGACTTCCACAAGACTGGCTGTGATCTGTGGCTTCAGGCCTAGATCTGATGGCTTAAAAATCACACCAGGCATGTATACGAGTACGCCTAAAACCCCAGGGAAGAGAACGGAGGAGAAGTAATTGTGCTGTGGCTATCCACACTGAGGGTAATTTCTCACCTTCCTCTCACTGTCTCTGTCTCCAATGAGTTTATGTGCTCTATGGCAAAAAAAAAAGGGGGGAGGGGGGACGACTTTGAGATGAGCTCACACTCCTCCCTGCCTCATCTGGACACCTGTACCAGCAAAGAGCTTTGATGGACAGCAGGCCACCTGCGACTGGAGGGCTTAATGGCTGGGACACATGGTTCATCTCCTCTTCCATTCACCTTCAGACTCAATGTTTTGTATAGCACATGGTTTTGTTACTGAGTTGAAGGTCAGAGGCTCAGTTTCAGGCACACCTATTCTCTAAAAACAGGGAAGACTTTGGGTAACCCAGGACCAATGACAACAGTGCAAAGTGTTAATGAGCAACAGGGAGGCAGAGCAGAAGAGAGTCTGCCAGTTGTCTACTCCTGCACACTGTTGAACACTCGGAGATACCTTGAGTAATTTAGGAAGGAGCATATAGGTCACAGATGACTAAAAACCATCACAGAGGCACAAGAAATATGAGCAACCAACAAAATATTTCTCCGCCAAGGGAAAACATCAATTCATCATTACCCACAGACAACACAATGGAAGTTACAGAAATGTCAGATAAGCAATTCAGAATATTCATAGTGACCAAACTAAATGAGAGCAATAGAAAAGAGACAACTAGCTCCAGGAGATAAGGAAGTCCTTTCACAATTTGAAAGGAGAAATAGACACCATAAAAAGAATCAAACAGAATTGTTACAGATGAAGAATGTAGTTCAGGAAATTAAAACCTCCCTCAAAAGTATTCACACAGAAGATTGAATCTCAAATGCAGAAGACAAAACCTCTGGCCTAGAAAAAATTATCAAAAGAATGAGAAAACAACCAGTAAAAATGAGGATAACATATGAGAAATACTACATATCAAGTTCCCAAACATCTGGATAATTGGTATCCCAGGAGAGGAAGAAAATAATAAGGGCCTTGATAATTTATTCCATGAAATCCTGGAAGAAAACTTTCTAAACCTAGATTGGTATTTAAATATCCAGACCCTAAAATCAACCCAAGAAGATCCTCTCCAAGGCACACCATAGCCAGATTGACTGAAACCACAGAGAAAGACAAGGCAATAAAATTGGGAAGAGGGAAACATCAGGTTACTTACAATGGTTATCAGGCTAACATAGGACCTCTCATCAGAAATACTGCAAGCAAGGGAAGAATGAGGAAGTATAGTCAAAGTGTTAAATGAAAAACAATTTCAATCAAGAATACTATAGCCAGCAAGATTATTCTTCACGTGGGAAGAAAAGATCTAAAATTCTCAGATAAACAAAACCAGAAAGAATTTATGAACTCCAGATCAACTCTTCAAGAAGTTCTGAATGGAATGCTATACCAGGAAATCTAAAAAGTCAGATAGACAGATATAAAAGAATAATAAACAACCAAGAAAATGACTCACTTAATGATAAGAACATGTCCAGAAATATCAATAATAACGTTGAACGTTAATGGATTAAATTCTTCAATCAAGAGATACAGACAGGCTAAATGGAAAATAAAAACCAAACAAACAAACAAACAAAAATCAGAAACTTTCTGTTGCCTACAAAAAATGTACCTTGTGGATAAAATTATACATAGACCAAAAGTGAAGGGCTGGAAAAAAATATTCCAAGACAGAAATCAAAAAAGGGCTGCAGTTGCAATACTGATTTCAGATAAAATAGGCTTTAAGACACAAACTGTAAGGAGAGACAAAGAAGGGTATTATGTAGTAGTAAAAGAGCTAATTCGTCAAGAAGACATAATGCTTATAAATATCTGTGCACCCAACACAACAGCACCTAAATATGGGAAGGAAAGATTGCTAGAGCTAAAAGGAGAGATAGGGTGCAAAACTATAATTGTTGGGGATCTCAACACCCCATTATCTCCTTTAGACAGATCTTCTAGACAAAAAATAAGCAGAGAGATACAGGACCTAAACAATACCATAAATCAAATGGGCTTCACAGACATCTATAGAACTTTCCACTGAAGACCACAAAATAGTATGTTTTTCTCACTGTGACATGGAACCTTTTCAAAGATTGACCATATGATAGGGCACAAATCAAGCTTTTACAGATTCAAAGGCATAGAAATTATTTCCAGCATCTTCTCTGATCATTATGGAATTAAACTTGATATTAATTTCAGAAAAAATCCTCAAAAATACACAACGCATGGAAACTAAACAACCTACATCTGAATGACTTCTTAACTACCAAAAAAATTAAGTCTGAAATAAAAAAATTTATGGAAGCAAATGATAATGAGTACATGAGTTTTTATAATTGATGGGACACTGCAAAAGCAGTCTTAAGAGGAAAATTCATAGCAATTAGTGCCCATAAGAAAAAGATGGAAAGGTGGCAAATAGACAACCTGATATCATGCCTCAGAGAATTGGAAAAACAACAACAAATGCCTTGTGAAAAAATAATTAAGATTTGAGCAGTAATAAATGACATAGAACATAAATGAACTACACAGAAAATAAATGAAAGCAAAAGCTGGTTCTTTGAAAAGATGAATAAGATCAACACAACATTAGCTAGACTCATAAAGAAAGAAAGAAACCAAGTAAATTAAAAACATATTGAAATAGGCAACATTACAACAGACTATCCCACTTCTGAGTATCTACCCAAAAGACAGAAGAATGTTCAGTCAGAAAAGAACTTGTACGTCAATGTTTATTGCAGAATTTTTCACAATTGTGAAGACATGGAACCAAACCAAATGTCCACAAACAGATGAATGGATTGGAAAAGCGTGGCACATACACTCTATGGAATACTGTTCAGCCATTAAAAACAACAAGACCCTGGCATTTGATAGAAAGTCGTCAAATATGGAAGATTTATTGCTGAGTGAAGCAAGTCAGGCTATGAAAGAAAGACATTGTATGTATCCACTTAATATATATCAACTTTCCACACTCTATGGTAGAGATTGAAATATTGGAGGGCATTAAAGGAGCTAATACAGTTATGGACACTGAAGACAGTATGGAATAGGGGTATAGGGGGGAGAAGGGCAGAATATAGAGAAGAAAAGGAGAAAAAATAGACATGACATTAGTGGGACATAGAAATGGTTTATTACCTGTTAATGATAATATTGTATTATGTTCTCAGCGGGACTGGTCTGAGACGTATTTTATGTTAGTTAAATTCTCTTTACAAACCAAATGAGGTATAGCAATTGGATGTTTAAAAAAAGTAAGAATAAATAATAATAATTATCTGAAAAAAAATGAAAAGCTATTTGCTGCTGATGATGATGTGGATAGGAATGTCTTTGTCTTGGCTGATATGCATGGTAGTTTTGCTGGAAAAAGAAATATTATACACTGCATAAATATATGTGATTAAGTGTAATATAAAAAATTAATTAAGGTGATAGAAAAAATTAATGAAATTTTAAAAAGAAAGAAAAAATATGGGAACTAAAATGTTAATGTGATGCTATCTTCATAGTCTGAATCTATATCCTTGTATTAGTTGGCTAAACATGCGGCACTGCATCTGGAGGACTCTAAATAGTAAAATAACTAGGATTGTCTAGAAAGATAGGTTTATGTGAGTTTTCTTTCTAAAAAGGACTTAGCTAGGAAGAAGATAAGGATCTACAAATATCTGAAAGGCTATCATGTAAAAATAGGATAGACTTGTGCTCTTCCCAATGGCATAACCACAGCAAGTGAGTCAAACTGGATAGCACATAGTAAATAAATTAGATAAAGATCAAAAGAACTCAGGCTCACTAACTGCTGGATTAGAGTTATCACTGCAAAATATCAAGCTTTCTATCACCATCTAAACTTGCTAGAGATCAAATGATCATATAGCTAGTATATTATTTATTTATTTATTTTAATTCATTTACTTGTAGGCTTTTGCAACAGGAGACATGTGTCCTAGAGAGAGAGAGAGAGAGAGAGAGAGAGAGAGAGGGAAAGTGAGAAATCACACCCCACAGGGATGCTCACAACACAATCCCTACTCCTCCATTCTCTTCTCAGGATTTGGAGGATACATACACATGTACCCGGCATGAATTTCAAGCCACCAGGACCAGGACTCAAACTGTGGTCAATCATGTTGGAGTTCAGTGTCTTAACTACCATACCACCTTCTGGTCCCTATAGAAATAATTTAAAGGGACATTAGATGATTGCAAAGATCAAGCCTGACTGTAAGAGTCTAAGACACAAAAAGCACAGCTAATAACATTTTAGCCATACCTATGACTAAGTGAATTTATTTCTGCCCCTTATATGTGGCAGCTGCATATGTACACTTGCCACAAGCAGGAGCTTTTCAAGCTGAAAGGCAGCTAGTAATATCTATTTTTGGTTACCCTATCTTAATTTTTTTGTTTTTATTCTCCTTTTCCTTTTCATGCATTTATTTCTCATGAACACATACACAACAACAAAAGTTGTTTTTATTTAGTTATTACCATCAGGCTCTTTGACCACAACCATCTCTTGACTATTTTGTCGATTTTCACTGGATTTCTTGATATTTTCTAGTTCTGTCCAGTAGGGGTCCAGAGATAACTCATCCAGAGAATCCTGGGAATTCGATCGATCAAACGGAGGCTTCTCCATGACTTTGGTTGTGCTTTCCTGGTTCATAGTGTAATGGCCACATCTGCGACTATAAATGAAAAGAGAAAACATGGTTCATTTAAGTATAAAAGGAAGTACGATAGCACAGTTTTTTAAAGATATCACAGCCTTGGGACCAGCAGTTAGAGTAATGGCTATGTCGCTGGAGTCCCATGTAGTTGACCGCGGTTCGCGTCCCAGACCCAGTGGCTTAAAACTCACGCCAGGCGTGTGTGCGTGCGTGCCCAAGATCCTGAGAGGAAAATGGAGAAGGGATTGTGGCGTGGCCATCTCCCCTGGGGGTGATTTCTCGCTTTCTATCTCTCTGTCTCTGTCTGGCAAGCTCACCCGCCCTATAGCAAAAACCTCTCAAAAAAAAAAAAAAAAAAAAAAAAAAGATATCACAGCCTTAAGTTCTCCTTAATAAAAACCAAAGAGATACATATTTTGAAACTGTTTGCTTTGAAATGCTACTGATGATGATACATTTACAAAATGAACAGCTTCATATTCTACATAAAAGTGTGGTGGTGAAGAAAACACAGCAACACAGTAAATTATTTTTCCTTCTATTAGGTTATAGGAAAAGTCATGACACATTTTTGCATAGAAAAATATGTCATGACTTTTCCAACTACCCACTATATTACACTTAAATTATTTTAAAGAGTCATTTAAACCTGAAATTTTATTTTCAGAAAGCAACAAGTTGAATTTTGATTATAAGTTGTTAATTGGTTAACTTGAAGCTAAATGTTATGTAATATTTTGTATTTACCACTTAAATTAATCAAGTTCAGTCAATTCTTACATAGCAAACACTAAAACCAATGAATGAAGTTCTATTTAAATTCTCATTTTATTTTTAGAACTAAAACATAAATAGAAGGATGACTTACTAAATTTGCCATTATATTCTTCTATAGAAATCAACATTTAATCTTTGCTTAAAAATGTACCCATGGGGACCAGCAGTTTGCATAATGGCTGTGTCACTGGACTCCCATGTGGTTGACCATGGTTTGAGTCCTGGACTCAGTGGATTAAATTCACGCCAGGCACATGTACATGCATGCCCAAGATCCTGAGAGGAGAACAGAGGAGAAGGGGTTGGCAGAGTGGCCATCCACCCTGAGGGGAGAGGGGTGATTTCTCAATTTCTGTCTCTCTGTCTCTCTTTGTCTTTCTGGTGAGCACATGTGCTATAGCAAAAATCTCTCTTTAAAATAAATAAATAAATAAATAAATAAATAAATAATAAAATACATATATGTGTGTATAATGCATATATATGTGTGTGTGTGTACAAACGTACATACATATATGTATACATATATATATATAAATTTTGAGTGGGAACAACAATCGGTGAATAATTGTTATAATAATTCTAATTTCAGATTGCTCTTTTATCTCTTGAGGACTTCTAGGAAGTAATACTTTGCTACATTGGTTTGACTTGCTGTACATATTGAAAATATAGTAAAATCCTTTAAAGGCATGTGAACATTCCCACATTTAAGCTGGTCTTTTTTCTAATTACTGAAATAGTGAGATTTTTAATACCGCATAAGTGAGAGGGTCACTGAACTATGAGCAAATCTACCCAGTAGTTTAATTCTACTTGGGTTGCTAGAAAAAGTCAAAGGACTTAATGGCCTGTTGCTGCATGTAAATACAGTGTAACTGAGTACGAGTTGTACCATGCTAATAGGCCAGATTCATTGCTTTGAAGTTGGTTCCCTCTGCCTTGACGTATGTACTTTTTTAATGCTGGTTATAATGGCGAAAGACACAGTCAACATAGACTTTCCCCAGTAGCAACTTTGGGGTGATAACGGTGGGCATTAGGACCAAGGCCAACAGAAGTAAGTCTAGGCATGTTTTTGAATCTCTTTCCTCAAGTCTCCATTGTCCATTGTTTGTCTCCTCCATCCCTTAATTCATGAGGTACTCACTTCCTGCCAACTTAATTGTCCTGTTTACATCTTTGTATCCTACCTGGGTCCCCTTGTTTGATCCCAACAGCACTCCCTAGCTAGCAGATTCATTGTAGGGTTTTCACTCCTGATTCTTACTACATTATAAATAAGAAAGTTATCCCTATCTTAAAAACAAAAAAGCAAATATATATACATTTTTTGCTTTTGGTATCAGGAGCTCAATTGCTCTGCAGTTCATATTCCTAATCCAGCCTTACCAGGTTATCTAAAGCTCAATTATATGATATCTGCCTGTCATATTTATTTTTTCATTTATTTTATGTCAAATGTATAGATGCCTCATCCTTGCTTTTATCTTGTCTCTTATTATACTTATACCTTATACTAGGTTGTCTCTACAACCCTTATTCTTGTCTCCTACGATCCTTAGCCCACATAGGAGACAATAATAAATGTTGTTAACTCTATGAAATAGAATAACTAATGCCAAATAATTTGGTTTATCTGTTCACAGGGAAGAGGTGCAGTTGAACTAGAAGTACATTAAGCCTCTCAGTCCTAGAGGAATGTGTTTATTCTGGCAAGAATTTTCCAGTAAATTTCCATTAAGATAGCATGTGCAGAAAAATGCAAGGACATTGAGTAACAGCATTGTTACGTAAATATTCCTTCTATATCAAGCTCTGCTTTCAAAACATGCATAAAGCAAAAATCTAATAGTTTAGTGCTGATGTACTGGCTCAATTCTTTTGACTTTAATAAGATTCAGAAGCTAAATAGGTTTGTGATAACCTGAAAATACTGAGTCATGAAAAGAAAAGTTGTTTTGTTTCTTTTTTGATTCACTGATAAATATTGCAAGGAGACATTTTCATGTTTAAGCATTAGGGGATGAGAAGTGGGAAGGAATAACCACTCAGTAGTATAGTACTCTCCTTGGTCAACCTGCCATGTATTTTTTAATTTTCTCTAAAAGGATAAGTGAACATTCTTTCAGTTTACATTAATAAATGTGCTGTGTCATTTCTTTTCTTCTTAAACTACACTCTGTTTTGTCCATCAGAACAGGCAATAGCTAAATGTCTGGACCTCCTTAAAAAAATGCCCTGGTAACGGGTCAGTTAAGTGGTTTCCTCTTTTCCATTTTTAGTACACTATACAATACCATGTTCATTCTGAAAATCATGGGTTCAAAAACACAAAGTAACATCTGCTAGATGTAATGAAGTTCAGAGCCGAAACACTTTGTATTTCAAAAAAAATTCAACTTGACACATAGTGCTGAAATAAAAGAAACACACCATTTATACCACAGGCAACTACCAATTACCCCACCTGACTTCCTGGCAAGTGATTGTTCAGTTCTTTCCTTCTCACTCTCCCTCCAGAATGCTCTGTACAAACTGTCCCATGGTCATGCTTCAAATACTCCCACATTTCTCACCTTTGACAACGATAATGACAGAACTAGACACTGTCCTCAAATCTGTTGGCTGTGTTGCTCTATAAAGAATTGCTTTCTAGCTTACTGTACAAGTCAAGCTCTTTGGCACAGAAAATATATCATCACTTTGTATTTTTTCATGGGCATGAACATCTCCCATCAGCAAATACAGAGGTCCCTTGGTATCCATGGAGGACTGACTCAGGACACCCACCCCATGTCCAAATCCACGAGTGTTCAAGTGGATCATAAAATGATGTAGTAACTGCATAAAACCCACTTATATCCTTCCACAGATACTAACTTATTTCTACATTACTTATAATATCTAATATAATACAAATGCTATCTAAATAACTGTTATATTACTTAGGAAATAAGGACACAGAAAAAGGTTATTTATATTCTGTATAGACACAATGATTTTTTTTCTGAATATTTTCTTTTTAAGAATTTACTTATTTTATTCGTTGTTGTTGCTTATATCCTTCCACAGATACTAACTTATTTCTACATTACTTATAATATCTAATATAATACAAATGCTATCTAAATAACTGTTATATTACTTAGGAAATAAGGACACAGAAAAAGGTTATTTATATTCTGTATAGACACAACGATTTTTTTTCTGAATATTTTCTTTTTAAGAATTTACTTATTTTATTCATTGTTGTTGTTGTTGTTATTTTAAATCTGAGCAGAGAGAGAAAAAACAAAAATGAGAAAGCAAGCCACCAAGTTCAGGACTTGAACTGTTGCCAGCCATGTGGGAGTCTAATGCCTTAACCACCTGCTACCTGCCAGCCTCTTTCTAAATATTTTTGATTTGCAATCGACTGAATCCATGAACACAGAACTCACAGAAGGACGATGTGCTCACTGTACAGACCCTTATGGGCCTTCCTAGCATACCTCTTCTTTTTTACCTTGCTAGCATGTCCTCTAGCTATATTAATAAAAGTTAGGGGGATTTTTTATTTTGTTCACAAGCATATTAGCCCATGTTTCTATCATACTTTTCCTACTTGATCAATGGATTTCACAGGTATTGATATCTGGTATAGTTCCCAAAATTCACATGTTCAATCATTTTTGGAACACACACTGGATTAAGAGGATAAAAATTTAACATGATTATGGTGTCAAAAGCTTGGGTTTGGGAGAAGAGATTAATGGCTGGATGTTTAGGTCGGGGCCTCCGGAAGTGAGTGATGGGCTTTAACACAGAGGGAATGATGATACAAGACAGAAGGAAGAAGGCCACGTGGATCATGTTCCTCTCTGCTCCATGTTCTGCTTTCCACCATTTTTTGATGCCTTTGGACTTTTCCAGCCACCAGAACTGGGAGTCAATAAACATCTATTACTTCATAAATCACTCCGTCTCAGGTATTTCTATAAGCAACACAATAACAGGCTAAGACAATACCATGCAGGGTATGTGTAATACCAGGTACTCGTGTTGTCACAGAATATCAAACTAGTCTGACACATTTTATTCTTTGTTAGGAGCTCAGGGTTACCATTTATTATACTGTCGTCTAGTAGAAGACTTCAGGCTGATTGATGATTCACCCTAGTATCAAAGCAGTCAGCAAAATGAAATGGAAACACATGGAACTGGAAGTCATAAATACCAAACGATGCTAACGCCACTTA